TAAATTATCCAATAAGTAACGCGATGTCAATATTTAAGGATAAGGAAAACACTATTAACGTGCTCGAACACACAAAGGAGTCAACCAACAAGGGACCATTGATATTTTTCCGTTGGTTATACTTTCTTGTCTGTAAGCTGCCGATTTCCAATATCCCGGCACACCTCAAGCGTGACTTCAATGGAAAAGCCAATACAACATTCAACGGTATTTATTTTTATTTAAAAGTTACACCTCAAGTAATCTTTTGCAAATGTTTATAACAATGAAATAATGCATATTATCAAATAAACACGAGCTTCTTAGTTTCTGTCAAATGTTTCAGCGCGGAAATAATAAAAACTTAATTGGCAGCTTATGTTTTCTTCTAGATTATGATCTACATTATGGCCAAATTACAGCAAGATCCGTTTAGCGTTTCTGCAAGTACCTTATAAGAAACATTCATCCAAACATTCGTATATATTAATATGATTAGCAAGATAAGTAATATTATTAGTAAGATTACTTGCAAATGGTTAATATATTAAGTATATTCTTGGCGACCTTCTTTCTATACCTGTTGCTTATATCGTGAGAAAGCGAGGCGACCGAAATGCGCCACCGCCCACAGTGTTGTCAGCTTGCAAACACTACCTCGTTTGCAGGGAAAATAATAAAAACACTACTATGTTTTTTAACCTAACTTTTTATTTACTTTATCCTAATGAAGAAGTAAATGTTAAATATAGTTAACTTAAAACTAGAATATTAAATTCGCATATAATAGAATAATACAATAATGTTTGACAACCTTGTAACTAACATGACATGATAACATGATTAAATTTTGTATATACCATAGTGCCTCCCGATATTAAAACTCAATAAACAATCCATTATTAGCATTCTTCAGTATTCTTATGAGCTTATTTTTTATCCGATTTTATAATACATAAGCCATCCAAACTTATCAAGTGATGAAAATTATTGATGAAAATTATTTACAAGTCCCGATGTTAAATTTTATTAACACAATCACTAGCAATTAAGAGAATCATATCCTCATTGACCCGTGCGTTCCGATTATACAGATGAGTACATTTGCAACTCGTTTTAAGATAGTTAACCGATTTGGGGTAAGGCCGTTCGTCGCGCTGGCAACACTGAGCCCCGGGCGGCGGCAGTGTGCGCGAGCCGGGCCCAGCGATACCTCGCGCGCGGACACAGGCAACCTGAAATATATACGTTTTATATACATTTGTTTAATATCCTGTATCGCGTTTTAAATCAGTGATTTTTTTCAGATTTTAGTTTATTGGTAAAATTCTAATTTTAGTGTCTTTATATTGTGAATACCTTTGTTTTGATTTAAAATTGATCGAAAATAAAATTAGATAAAATTGTGTTATACCATTTTTGACATGTTTTTAAAAGGCTGATTTAAATAAATCATAATAATAGAGGTTTTAATTTATAAAATTGACTAGGAATATCATCTTATTTAATTCCCATTAGGAAATATCAAGTGTTTGAGTACTATAAACTGGGCGTCTATAAATTTTCGTACATCTAATATTTCGTATTGTGGAAGTGATGTAAAGTTAAATCTAAAAATTACTTCCTGTAATAACCGAAATTGGTGTTCTGTGCTTAGATTAATCTATTTCAATGTGACAATAAAATGTTTAAGTGATTTTAGATTTCAAAAAAGCAGTGAACATATCATAGTAATTTATAAAAATATCGTTCATTTGACACGAAATTATAGCATCTTATCTTATATTTTAGAATAAATTAAAACGTAAAATAATTAAAATTTCGAGTATTTATCGTAGACGTTATGTCTACGACGTAGACCGTAAACAAACGCCCACGTAGCGCTTCTACGCTCTCATTACGATATGCACAGAGGGCGTCGTACTACCGGCGCCCACGCAACAGCTGAGATGCTCGATACCGTCTAGACGTGATCAAATAATACTCGGACTTCCCCCGCGTACTTATACATAAAATATGGCTTTACAAAACAAACTCTTTGTTTTTAATTATGTAGTTTTAAATATACTAGTCGATATGTCTTTTGTCTGCAAGTTTCACTAGTAACTTGCAGTCCTTTTAAACTGTACTTCTCCACTCTGCTTAATATCTTTTAAAATAAAACGAAAGTACAATTCAGTAGAGTTTCGGTTGAGTTTCCTATTTCGAGCGAGGAGCGTAATAATTAATGTAAAATGTATAAATATTTAAAGCTCTTTCTGTGTTTATGGTAATTGTAAGTCTTGTCTTTGCTCAAAGGCTTCATAACGACTGAAATTTTATAAATATTGTATTGTGAAAGTGTATTAATTTAGCATATTTTATATTATCTCTTAATAGGTTTTACTTGGCTTGGCTTAGCAGTACAGATTTACGTTTAGTAGGGCTCATTAAATTTCAGTTTTGCGTTTTTGATTTGAATCTTTAAATTTCGCGTTTAATAACCCATAAATCAAAAAAATTATTCGCTCGTATAAATAAAACATACAATCCACTACGCAGGTACAACGCATACAACGAAAGCTGACCTAAAAACAATACAATAATATAAAAAAAAACCCCAGAGAACAATATTTTCGGCCTCATATACAATGCAATATAGACTTTCTAATAAGTGAGTGATGTTAGTGTAAACGTGAACAATGAGTGGGCTAGGACCCCCCGGTGTGTGGGCGGCACAGAAGAGATTGGAGTCGTGGGCAAGGGCAGCCAGAGAGAGAACCTCCAGCGCAAGTAGTGGGCAAAGTCATAATTCCACTGATAGCTTTGGCGATGACAAATCCCATAGTAGTCCTAGTGTACGTATAACCTTTTTGCGTATTATATCTATAATTACAAATTAAAATGTGTTATACAATTTAGTTTGTGTTCCCATTGCTGATTGAACATTTGCGCAATCGCCAAAATTGTTTGAATTGTTTTTAAATTGTAGATGTTCATTTAAACAAAACAAATGCACCTTAATAATTTATCTTCGTATTCAGTTGTATACGTCAATATTTTTCACAACGACACGCCGCGCCGCGCCTTTGGCGTTGTGAGAAATACCAAAAGTGCATCTCTTGTGAAATTAGACCGAGCACGAACAAGGAATGCTCATTTTCTATTTTGTAAGACCTTTTTAAAAAACTTGTTCAACCGTATTTCAAAGAACATTTATGAAATACTCTACTAGAGTACCTTATTTAACGACGAAACAGAAAACTTTTTGAAGTTACAATATATATTACACATGTTGTATGTAATTTTATCCTATTGAATTTTAATCATCAGTTATCCATCCAATCCATATTGTTATGCGAATTCAATTTTTTTTATTTCATAAGGTGGCAAATGACCGAACAGCCACCTGAAATCGCTGATATAGCGAAGTGACCGTTGCCCATAAACATACGCAATTGCATATGCGTTGCCTTCCTTTAATCGACGGAGGAGAGGATGCACCGAAAGAAAATATTTTCCCTTTCCATGCATGCTCTCATCCGGAAAGTCCACTTCCACTTCCCATCCTTTCCTTATAAGAAAAAGGTGGGAAGGGAAAGAGGACTAAATCAATGTAATGTGTACTAAATCTAAATTATCTCTGTTATTCAAATTATTGTAAAATATAACAAGGCTATCAATTAACAGGTTGCCTACCAGTAATTGACTTTCCATCATACGTCTTTAAATTTTCACCGAGTTGTGGTTTGACGTATCGATTAAACTGACAAACAAGCGACTAACACTGCCGACCACAAATTGTGTTGCAACCACAATGCTATCAGCGAGTCATATTACATTATGTACCTTTACTAAATTTTGAATCATACCATTGTAGGTCAGGTCATTACATAGAACTACAATAGACTTTTACTACGTATTTTTTGTTACTAATTTATTTTATTTCTACAATAATTATATAAAAAGCTTAGCATTCATATTGATACAAGAAAATTATTACATATTTACTTAGGCAATGTCCAACGATTTTTTTTAAACTAACTGTCGCCCGCTACTCCTTCCGCGTAATTTAAAAATACTTTATAAGTAGCCTATGTGTTCTTTCAGACTATGCTCTACATCTATGCCAAATTTAATTGCGATCAGTTCAGCCGTTCCGGAGATAACTTCAAACAAACAAACATCCATCCATTAATCCAACATAATATGAGAAAAATCTTTGTTTATGAATAATTATAGTATTCCTTATCGTTACAAATTAATATTTGAATGATAAATATTAAATAAATAACGGTAAATTATCTTTGTACAATAAACAAAGGAAAGGAAATGAAAGTAAAAAAAAATTATAGAAGTACTGCGACTCAGGACCCTTTCCTTTTTATTTAAATGAGGGTAGAATAAAACACAAAGCAGTGAAAACTCGTAGCGGCCAAAATACATTATTCAAAAGAGAAACGATGTAATACTAGCCGCTATAATTAACCACGAAGCGTTGAAAACTGAAATCTTATACAATCTTGAATAAGCTGGCTAACGTTTTAATCAAAGTCAAAAAAAGTCCGTGAAACCATAAATTAGGTGTCATAGTTCCCAGTTATTACTTCGTAGAAAAAATACGACATAGACAAAGTTTGCAGAAACCAGTGTGGACAATTTATGATATGCCATTCATATATAGGCGTGTCTCAAGTATTTTCGTGCTTTCCAGTCAGCTTTAGGGCAAAATCGCAATCCCCATTTAAACATCTTACTAATATTATAAATGCGAGTATAATAAATTAGAAGGTATCTCCGGAACGCCTTAACGGTTCTTGATGAAATTTTGCACAGATGTAGAACATAGTCTGATAGAACACATAGACTACTTACGAGTATTAAGTTTTCTTTTTAATTCCTCTCGGACGGTGTCGCCGACGTCAGCTTGTATACTATTATAGTAAAAATATAGTAAAAAAAAGAAGCAGTTTTTTCATAACTCTTCAATAAAGTGCCCATATCTGTTTTTATTAATTTTTAATGTTTTTTTTGTAACACAGGAGATGCTGATCCCGAAAGAGCAGTGTCGCGTGCAGCCTCTGAACGAGGTGCGCACTGCTAGCTCACTGCCGCACGCAAGACTCGCTCGGACACCATCCATTTCCTCCCAGAGTAGTCTCGACAGCGGGACTTCGAGAGCCACTGTAAGTAAACATTATAAGAAAGCGGATAACGTCACCTATTACTTCACTTTGCCAAAAAAACATTAGAATGTCTTTTGTTTTAAAAAGTATGATAGTATTATACAAAAAGAACAATAAGCAAACAGGTAATTCTTAAGTACTTAGTAGGTCTTTAATACTTGGAAGAATTAGACATGCCGCGTATTTTTACTAAAACAGTTCATCCACTGATGCTAAGGATTAATGTGACGTCACCTATATTAAAGAATGCTTAATATTTATAACTATATTAAGCTTTTGTACATAATATAATGATGTATGTAATTAATATTAATTCTATTCTACTTATTTATTCATGCGTATGATAAATCAAAGAGAATTGATAATAAAGCCATGAGACAGACACCTTTAATTTAGTATGCAGTTTACAAAGCACTCAGATTGTAATATAAATGTATAAACAGCGGTAGAAAGATATGTAGGCACATAAAATATAATTATTGGAATATCTGACCTATGTTTTGTTCTGAGGTGATTGTGTTTTTCATTGAAATTTTGTTTATCCACTTTGAATAAAGATTTATAGTAAATTCATAAACTTGTTAAAACCTATCTTTAAATTGTAAATGCAGTATCATCTATTCGGATCTGACCTAATAACTTTTTCAATTAATAAAACATCAACAAAGTTCGCGTTCTTAACTAGTAGATACTTTGTTAATCTTATTACGGTCATGTTCGCGATCACAGGAAAAAGTTGTTCGGTCTTACAGCTTTTGCAAAGCAAGGAGAAGGTATATTTCAGTCGTACTATTAGTAATTTATCAATTTACCAGCTGTCGCCCGGGACTCTGTCCGTGAGGAATTATTTAAAAAAAACTTAGTAGTGTTAGGAAGAAAATCCGACACTGTGCCGGTGTATCGGCGCAACAATAGCCTTATTAAAATATCAATCGACACTTGACTTGGTAACGAATACGCGCCAAACGATTCTTACTAATAATGTCTCAAAGTAGTCTGCGTTCTTCCACACCATGTTTAACATCTATGCAAGATTCTTGCACCCGTTCCGAAGATCTTCTATCAAACATCCATCTATTCATCGATTATTAATAAGATATTGGTGAGATATCAGAACGCAAGTAAAGAAGCTATAAATTCAATATGAAAATATTTTGAATTCATGTCAATATTAAAACCCGACCTACGAAAAGATTTCGACATAATCGCAAAAGGGCTGAGCGTTAACTATTCTTCTCACACAATATCATCGTTGGAAAAAACTTCTTCAAATACACCAAATCTTTTTTACGGATTTATCGTCGGTTTCTGAGCTCAAAATCCCTGTATGAAATATATCGATTCCCTCTCATTATCTTTGACAAAATAGATATAACAATATTTTTATTTTGGTATTATAAACCAACAATTTAATGTTAGTCTTGCCATCATGAGCACGCCCCTTAAATCCTTCTAGATAGAAAGTTAACGTGTTCTAGCATTTTCCATCACTCTTCAAAGACTTTTACGTTTTTAAGAGCTTCTAGATTAATCGTTTGTTGAGATAAAACGTTTTTTGATTTTATATCAAAGCTAAAATTAAACCTTAAAACCCGAAATTGATCTTCATTGTAATCTCGAACCGCCGAGGGCGTTATTTTTAGCCCACTGTTGAATTTTATTAGAGAATTTTAAGTGTTACTCTGCGAAGTTCGAATTATTTTATTTAAAGGATAATATTATTATTATTCTTAAATCCTATTGAATTAATTTAAATTTTAAACAATTTTATTTAAATATCTCATCTGCAGATTTTCTTCTCAGTCGCTACAGTCTTTACAGACTGGTCCTGGTCATCATATAGGTACCGTTTCATCAGACGCTTTCACGCTCCAGATTTATTAGATTACACTTACATGTTTTAACGTACAGTAAAATGCGCCTATATTTTTGCATATTATATTTCTATTGTTAAAACGTACATTTCATATAGGATACACACCTATTGTTTTAACATTGTTGTTTTCCTCTAGACGCTCGGTTTACGTGTATACATTAGTTACAACTTGAAGTAGGTAATGTACTACGTATAACCTATTTCGCACTTAACATTTTTCTTCCCAGTTTCCCAAAGACAATAGCGATAAAGATCATTGTGACCTGCTAAGCCGTATGTGTCTCGTAGTGGTGTTTCACTGTTAACGTTGGATTCATGAGATGTTGTAGTTTCATAGTCCATAACATATTTTAATCTTCTGCTATTAAGACCAAATTTATACGTTCTTTTCCTCACTCAATGTTGGACGTATTTTAATAATTGGTGTATCGAAAACATAATTGTCCACCGTGTAAATCGTAATTACTATTTATTATTAACTCTACGGCTTCATTAATAATAAATCGTTAGACTAGGTAACTTTAAAATAATCAATAAAAAAATTCGTTGGAACTTTCGTTTTGCTTTAAAAACTAGAAATGTCTGTCAAGGCCACTTATAAAAGACATTTGTTCACATAAACCTTGTTAAATTAAAAAGTCACTTCTCCGTTTCTTCCTATCACTGTAAAGACAACCATTTTTCAATAATCGAAGAGTAATTTATTAAAGAATATGCTTTATAATACGTGACTATAGAGTACAAAGAGAATTCTTACATCCTGTAGGAATATTAGAGCTAAAGCTCGTTAGGATTAGAGCTTTCAAAGATCTTCCCTGTTGCGAGCTTATATTAGCATGCAATATAGAATATTAATAGTTGTGAATATACAAGCCTTGCAAGTATTCTTTATGACTGTTACAGAGTCACCGCGGCTCGTCGCCGGCTATCCGTACGTTCGCTCCTGACGGGCGCACATTGGAAGCCGGGAGCACGGGCATACCACGCTCGCCGTCGCCTCTGCGTGCTGCCTCCCTGGACGTGCGCGCTGCCTCACATGCACACGGATCACTTGCCTCCCTCGCAGACTCCCCTGCTCCCTCCAGCCCCAGGCACGTGCCCCCTAGGTGTCTGTCGCCTCTACTTATGCCGCCCAGGTATGCAAGTCTTATTTTATTTTCATAATATTTTTTAACAACAATTTGTTTCTTTTTATTAATTAATACCGCGTTTAGCCATTATTATTATCTAATCTAATAATAAACAGTATAGAACAAATGATAAGAAAATTATCTACATATAGCAGCAAAATAGATACCACCAAAATAATTGGTTCTTAATCATTAAGATTGATGAATAAGATAGAGGAATAAATGTTTCAGAAATATTAGAGTTCCGGCATTTTGCGATATCGTTTACATTATTTCCAGTAAATGAAGGGACTAAAGGATATCTAAAAACTAGCACACAAACAAACACTTAAAAGTTACTTACCTTAATTTACACGTGAAATAAATAAAATTTTACGAAATAGCAAACCTGATGCTGAAAAATTTTGTGTTATATTTTAATCTGTCATTTTTCATATTGCATTATGAATACTATAGTAGGTTAAAACTGAAAGAAATCTCGAGGTAACCCTAGTAATATAGGCAGTGTAAATGTCGTAGGTAAAGGCGCGAGGCTCGCGGCAGAATCAATCTGTGCGGGGCCGCTCCGCGCAAATTGATATAAACTCAATTTTCGGCGCTGCCTCCATTTCCCCGGCCCCTTATTCTCTCGACACTTAGCTACTACATACAACTTATGTAGGAAACCGATGTAATTATGTGCTTCAAACGATTTTTATTGGTACTGTTCGTAGAAATGGTTTTGAAATATTTTTTGTACGTAACACATTTGCAGTTCATGTGGTGTTGCAAATGTTTATGAGGGTCGAGGATCAAAAAAAATTTAACTCTATTTTATTGTCATTTAAACAAAAATGTTACAGGCGGATAGATCGCAGTAATTCCTTGGTGGAGAGCAGCAGTGGAGTGGGCCCTCTAAGTCCCGGCGCGGGCGCTGCCATCAGCGCTCTAGGGGCCCTGCAGCCCGACCTTTACACCAAACGAGAGGCGCCGTTAGTTATCGAGCTGGAGGGCGCAGGGCCTTCGCTCGGCAGAATACACCTACGATTGAAATACGACTTCGACAGATCTGATTTGGAGGTTCATTTAATTGAAGGTAATCTGGTCAAATATGATGAGTCGCGCTGAGAGTTTTTCAGCCGCCTCTTAAGGAACGCCTTAGTCAATATTTACCATAAAATGACTCTTATTGTTGGCAAGCATGATAATTGGAGTACGCAAAAAATTCTTTCTAGCGCACGACCTAGCGGGTTACGAGGCAGGCGGTTTCAACGATCCCTACGTGCGAGTCAGCCTACTGCCTGAGGTGGATACGCGCGTGCGTCAAACTCCTGTCCATAGAAACGAGGCCAATCCGTTCTTCGATCAGCACTTCAAGTTCCCGGTGTCCCATGACGAGCTGGGTGATAAAACTCTCCTACTTCAAGTTTTTGATTATGACAGGTAGGTACGCAACACGTCAATACAACTGAATTTTAAATATAGGCATAAACTCTACAATGTCATCTACGCAAATTTTCCATATATAACCAGATATCGGTTGACTCGAATGTGCTAAATTCAGTACAGTTGCGATGGCATTTCTTTGTCATAAAAGACGTTACATAGACATAACATTTGTTTATCGTTCCAGATTTTCGCGTAACGAAGTGATGGGCTCTGCGAAGGTGCCTCTGTGCCGCGTGGAGGTTGCAGGCGGCGCGGAGGTGTGGGCTGAGCTATCGCGCGAGCGCCGCCCGCCCGAGGAACTGCAAGAATTGCTATTGTCGCTCTCCTATCTGCCCTCGGCAGAGCGTCTCACTGTTGTCGTGCTTAAGGCGCGCAATCTCCTGCCTCCTCAGGAAGGGAAGGACGCTTTAGGTATGTTGGGATTACAGCATACGGACTTATGATCAAAAAAGTATCACGATTCATTAGTTATTGTAAAGTCAGTAATCCTAAAAAGGGGCGACAAGAATATATAGAAAGAATAGTGGCAAAATCATAATAAAGGACCCTCCGCTTGATTTACAGATGTGTACGTGAAAGTATACCTTCTTGTAAATGGGAAGCGAGTGAAAAAGAAGAAGACGAACAGGAAGGAGATAAATAACCCCGTGTGGAACGAGGCTCTCTCCTTCAGCCTGCCTTCTGCTAATCTTCAGGAAGCTTCTATTGAGGTAGTACTTTCAATCTTTGCTTGTTCCCCCTCCACCATTATTAACATGAATTTATTTGTTTATACATGATCCTTGTTTATTCGTATTAATAATTTTAAAAGCTTTTTAATGTCATTTTGAGGTGTGCGTGGTGACGGGTGGCGGCAGCGGGCTGGTTGTGGGCTGGTGCTGCGTTGGCGCTGCCGAGCCCGCCGCTGAGGGGCGCCACTGGGCGCAGATGGCGCACGAGACGCGCAAGGCTGTCGCCATGTGGCACACACTCAGATAGACTGCCATCACATCGCACACATCACACCTCACACTATACCAATATGATCTTTTCTTATGTAACTTTGTAGTAGTGAGTCAAATATTCTATATTCTATAGATCTATTTCAAGTGTAAACGTGACCTTTGTATTAGAAAATATTTAAATTATAACTTTGAATATGTAAGTAACAAAGTTGAACCAAGAATATTTTTAAAATTATGATATCTGCAAATATCAATGCTGTTATGAAAAGGATGAGGTTAATTACCTCGTTAAACGTCGATTAATGCAAAGTTAATGTTTTTTTTGTTTCTTTTTCAATATAATATAATTATTTTCGTTTTTTCTACCAATTAGTCGTCGTAAGCCGTAAATGGTGATCTTTCTCTTGTTACAATATAAAGAGTAAGCATTCTAGATTTAGTTTAAAATTTACTAAAACGCACAAAAATCACTTCATTATCTATATTACATTTTCGTAGTTAGAAAAGATCATAATTGTTAATGTGTTTATCAATAATTCACAAACACAACATTTTCAAGGCGACGAATGCCTTTTAGGTAATTTAAATAACTATAAATCTCAAATGTACTAGTATAAAATCCTATTGTCCAATACAAACTGTGGGCTCTTTTCATTACTTATATAATTAAAATGTTTAAATTAATTTTATCGTAGCCTGTTGACGTGATTATTTTTTTTATCACGTTATCAAATAACACTCAAGTTTTTAATATCATATATCGACTGAAAAATTATATCAAAATTGATTGAGCTTCGGAACACCAAACTAATCTTATGAATTTGAAGAATTTTATAATAAGACTAAAATGTTAATTTTAAAAATTAAAATGTCACGTAATTATGAGTTGGTTTATAGATCAATAATATTGAAACTTCTAATTGCCCACAGTTATTTATGTAATACATATGTGTCGAATCATTCTAATATAAAATGGTGAAGTCGCCGTTGAAAATATACTTTTTGAGAGTATATAATTATATCAAATAGATTCCATAATATACGTATTTTTGTCAAAATAAGTGTACGTGTGTAAACAATATTTTACTTTGTATTTTCTTTTACATTGTCTTAATAAAATATCTCTTTGTTAAATTTATTGTTGTTTTATTTTAGTTCCATCAAATCACTCACACGATAAGTCCCTAATGAGAGAGTCAGAGCCTGCCGAGTTAGAGGTGACTAGGGTATAATCAACCACGCTGGCCTTGTACGGGTTTTCACACATATCTTTAAATTTCTTTGCAGATATGTGCAAATTGCATTACGATATTTTTCTTCACCGTAAGAATTTCGGCTAAATATAAATCGAAAACACATTGATACATGGTCGGTTTCGAACGCAGGACCTGTCGATTACAAGTCATGTAGTTAATGCCTGAGCTACCAACGCTCTGATCATTTTAGTTTGGGGTGTGGTAAATGAAAGACCGATTTACAACAAATCTCCTTTATTCATAAAACTTTTTACATAATATTCAATGTTTAATTTATAGTAGAAAATAACAGACTTAAACTATATTAGGCGTATTGTACCGTAAGTTCGTACCTGGTCCAAGTACGGAGTGAAACACTATGGTATCCCATCACTATAAGTCACTATGTTATAAGTTACACGTAACTTACCACTGCTGGCGATGTCGCGAACCCGCGCAAACTCCACCAACTAGAATTGCATATAAATATTAATATTTAGAGATAAATCACAAACAAAATTTACAAATATACACAGATTAAAAAAAACTGAGAATACATTTTTAATTTACATTTTCTTTATAATTAAAAGTAAAAAAACAGTCTTTACAGGCAAGATAAATATTTGATTATAATTCAACCAAAAATCAATAAAAGACTTTTTTGACAAGAAAGTGAGAAATCGAAACTAATAAATAAATTTGATTTAAGACAAATATGTAACATCCAAAACAAACCTGCCTGCGATAATCTATGGAAGCGTTAGGAAAAAAAGATTAAATATCTTAAAAATATTACGAAATTATATACAATCATGCATTTTAATAAAAAAAAACACATTAAATACTTTACACGTTATTGAAGACTCCATTGTTGTTGCAACTAGGATTAAAGGAATAAGGAATAAATTAAATTAAATTTGCATTTAAGGTGAGTGTAAAGGCGGAATAATGGCAACATTGCTAATTTATGTCATTGTTTTGAAGGGATTTTGGGATGAAGGAAATTGCAATCGGGATCCCTGCAACTGCCGCCGACTTCGTAAGGGCAGAGGAACGCATTCGGGTCTTCTAGCCAGCTGAAAAACATTCATTTAAGAATACATAACAGTTCGTAAGTGTGCCGTGGATGGTACAGATGCATACTTACATCGCAAAGCTGCCGCGATGTGCGTACGCAGACCTAATCCACGTATTATACTTGTTAATGAAGATACTACCACCATAATACATGTCGTTACGCAACTTGTTGAACAACACACCTAATAGATTACTTGCAAGCAATTATATTCCATAAAAATTATTTCTAACACATATGTCACTGTAAATAGATAATTACAAAATATCACAGATAATTAAGCTTTTAAAAACATGCTAGATTATACGCAATATTAATTAGCATAATTTAAAAAAAAAATTGTTTTTTTTTTATAACAGAAGGGGCAAAGGAGCAGCGGGAACACCGTGGTGTTCCCTAACACTACAATTTTAACAGTGGTAGAGCCCGCTTTAACATCTTCGCACGAATCGGCCCGGCTCGCCCGGTGAAATACCACGACCACACAGAAGACAGGCCTCAAGTGGAAGCAATTCCAAGTACAGTCTGATGAGTGTGCGTCCCGGAGGCCTAACTTAGTCCTCTTTCCCTTCCCACCTTTTTTCTTATAAGGAAATGATGGGAAGTGGAAGTGGACTCCCTGGATGAGAGAATGCATGGAAAGGGATAATATTTTCCTTCTGTGCATCCTCCCCTCCGTAGATTAAAAGTAGGCAACGCATATGCAATTGCGTATGTCTATGGGCAACGGTCACTTCGCTATTTCAGTGATTTCAGGTGGCCGCTCGCTCGTTTGCCACCTTATGATATAAAAAAATGGAAATCTTAAAAAAATCTAGCATACTTTTAAAATGTAATTTTAATTTCTTCATTCGCATTGTTCCATTTACTTTGCAGTTATTTCAAGTATCTGTTTCTAGAAAAAGCTAAATCTAACAAAACTATTTCTTCTGTTAATATATTTGTTAAAGAAATAAACTTACATATTAGATCCAAATGCGTTCAATGGTGACTGATATTCATTCGTGTCTTTATACTTCTCCTTATCCTTTATTGAAATAGCACTAGGATTCTGTATACTTTTATTTCGACAATTTGTTTCTAAAACTGGATGGATTATGTTGTCTTTTTTACCACAGCTTGTTGATGTTTTTACATTTTTATTTGAATCTAATTTGTCTTCAACTATAATATTTTTATCTTTATCCAAAATTTTAGGAATTCTATCAGTCTGGTTAACACTATTATCAACTTTAGAGATTGGTCCAGTAATTTCTTTTTTTAAATTATTCGTAACAGTCCCTGTGTTTGTTGTATTTTCCTCTTTCGTTGGATTATTTTCTTTTTGTAATTTATTAACAACTACTTTGTTACTTATTTGGTTTGTAGATGGAATTCTTCCGGTGGAATGTGTGAAATTTGAGCTGAAAAATTACTGAGTTACATTTTCTTTTAAAATTAAAATTACTTATGTACTAATTTAAAGTCAAATACCTTTTTAATAACATTTGATGATTTATCCTTATTCTTCCTAATTTACTTTGAACAGTTCTTTGTTCTTTTTTATTCATTGTGATTGCTGTTGAAATGTTGCGTAGTTCTGTTGCAACTATTTTATACTTTTGTAGTAGCTTAGTAGCTTCTTCTTTAAGTTTAAGCATTTTAGCAGACTCTTCGGCTATATTTTTTCTGGGTAAAATTAGTTTTAAAATCTTGCATTACAATCGCATTGATATTTTGATCAGAAAAAACAATTGAAATTATAAATATTTAAAGTTTTTAATAGAGAACAAAGTATTAAAAATTAAATGGCAACATTTATTTTAAAAAAATACCATAAACATTTGTATGAAATCAGTCTCATTGTATTTCTAAGTCATTGTTAGGAATAGAATTTTTTTTCTGATCATTAAATTTAAAAAAAATATATAAAAAACAAATTATAAGTAACTGTCGTACCTTGATATAGAAATCTTTTGTTCTAGATTATCAGTGAATGTATTTTTTGGATTTATAGATTCTTTTAATATGTTGGCATTCTTTTGGTTCATAGACGCTTGTCTAATTTGTTTCATTTTCTCCAACTCTGCCATTCTTTTGACTAAATTTTTATACTCAATTTGTTCAGACTTAGGTAAATGATTCACAGCCTGGAAATTGTAACTAGTATTAAAGCATTTATTAAAAAGATTATGTCAATTGATTTGGTTGTTACTACCTTGGGCACATATTTAGTGTGTGGCTTTGTAACAGGATCCTGTTGTACAACATCAGGCAATTTATTATTTTCAACTTGCAATCGGGTTGACTTTAGGAATAAATCCAATTTTTCTTGAAAATCTAAACGTTCCGACAATTTCATATGCATTTTCGTTAAATTTTTTGTTGCTTCATGTTCACCTTCAGAATCTGTATCTTTCAAATTTATAATAAATTTCTTTTCTTCTGGAACATTGTTATTACTCTTAGATTTAGTTGTGGTTGATTCTTTTGTAGTATTCTCCAATGTATTTACAACATCATCCATAGCAACTAAATTTGGCAAATTTTTTGTTAAGGATGTTAATAATTGTGCTCTTAATAAATCTTCATCATCTTCTAATTCATCTTGTTTGTTTTGATTTGATTGTTTATTATTATCTGTTTTTTGTCCTGAACTTACATTACCATCTCCATTTGATTCTTTTGTCTTATCATCACCGTCAGATCCAATATCCATATCCACAGACTCTATATCTGTGTTGTTCTCTATATCTGTCACATTAACAATGTCTTCTTCATGAGTCACTATATCATTTTGTAAGCTTTTTGATTTAGATTTCAATCTTTTCCTTAACTTCTGTTTCCTTTTAATTTCAATTGCCTTCTTTAAAAATGCTGATTTAAGACAAATTAGTCTTAAATCAGCAGTATCACTCTCGTCATCGTCTGATTGAGGCTTCTGAGCTTTTTTGGATGTATCTGATTGTGATTTTGTTTTAGTACTTTTCGTTTTCAAAGCATGTTGTCTAAGTAGTTCCAATTCATCATCTGAATCTTGTTTATTAGTTGGAATTTCTTTACTATTTGGTTCCATATTTTCTGTGTTAACATTTGCCTCAGAGACTTTTTCAACTTCTTCAGTACATAAACTATGCGTTTTACCATCACATTCATCTTTTTCTTCCTTATTTAATTGGATGAAGTTCTCGTCTTGGTTTACGCTTTGGGAATCACCAGCAACATCATTTATAATTTCAATATTATTTAACTGATTACAAAGCGAAATTTCCTTCTCTTCCGATTTGTTGGGACTAGTATTTTCTTTGATATTATCTAAAGTGTTATTATCTTGTTCTTTAATTATTTTGTTACTCACTTTCAATTTCTCAATGTTTAAACAATTTTCTTTAGACTTTTTCCCAAACAACATTTCTTCAAGCCTTGCCTTTAATGATGTATCCACCTTTGCCTTGTTAAGTCCCACTGCATTTGCTAATTTACGTCTTTTATTTCTATATTCATCATCTGATTCTTCGCTAGAGTCACTTATAATTTTTGGTTCCAATTTTCTTTTACGATGATATTTTTTCTTATTTTTCTTATGGCCACTATGTAAATTTATTTTCTTTTGCCTGTAACTTGCTTTTGAGCTAATACAGTTTTTAGAATGTCTTAAATAATCTGTAGTATTATCTTCAAATTCAGTAGCTGATATATCAGAGAGATCAGGAAAATATGTTACTGTGCTCTTTCCAATTTTACCTAAAAGTTATTTTTATTTTAACCTACATTAAAGTAAGACTAATTTAAAAAACAAAATGTTCTCTATTAATCACTTAACTTAATTCAATCATATTGAAATTTTACTAATATTATAAACACGAATGTTGAGATGGATGGATGTATAGATAGATTTTTGTTTGAAGGTATCTTCAAAAAGGCTCAACATATCTTGATGAAATTTGGAACAGATGTTGAACATAGTATATTTATTAAGTATATTTTTAATTCCGAGCCGACAGAGTGGCTGGCGACAGCTAGTATAATATAAAATTTAGACATTATATTTAGAAATTATATAGAGTGTAGTAGGAAAGTTAATGAAATTAGTAAGTATTTAAAACTCAATCCAATATTACCAAAACATCTAGATTTTTAGACTAAGAAAAAATCATCCAATTTTCAATGTCAAGTTGGTCACACATGTCTTTAATGCTATGCAGTTTTATCACCTACAGTTTTAGCCACAAATGCATATTATTATTGATACATTACTTACCATAGTGTTAAAAAAATAAAACCACTTAATTTAAAATCTATAGAAAAACCGAAACTTGTAAGATTAATATGTTACTAGTACTCATACACTGTGACTTGATAATTATTGTCTTCTTAAAACTTTGTTTGGATTATAATCAGCAAAATGTTTACAATTTTGCTAAAAATAGCTTGATCAATTTGACCTTTGTTATCAAAGAGATCACATAATTGGAGAAAGTCCTGTTTGAGTACAAGACGGTGTATCTACTTTCTCTCGGTAAAGTTTTTGTGTTTTTAATCCATTACCTGTGTCTCAAGAGTTCTACATGTAGTCATAAAAAGACTTTTTTTTAATTAAAAACTACACATATCTGAAGATCTTAGATTTTATAAATTGTTAAAATCAATTAATCTACGTTTGAACAAGTGTAAATTACAACTTCCCAAAAGTTGACAAAATCTGAGACTCATGCTTTTTAACTTACAAGTTCAATTTACAAAAATTAAAAACCTATCATAATCTTTACAAAAGAAGTAGTAAAACAAAAGTGATTTTTACCCAATGACACCCTTTTTGCTTCCTTTCTCTCGAGGGCATTATTGTAATTTTCCAGCACAAGCAACCTTTGTCTTAACAAGAACTCTTCTTCTGACGAAATATCCGATAGATAATCAAATTCATCTACTATTTCTCCTTCTTCCATTTCAGAATCATTATTCACTTGAGGAATCCTTTCCACACTACTCATCTTGACGTACTTTTCTCAATATGTTTATGAACAAGAGTTTAAGTATGATCGAATAAAAAGGATCATTACTTGTATCAATCAACAAATACGATAGACCTTTAGTCGATATGATAACAATTAATAATGAAAACCAAAAGTTTTCTATAATTCTTTAAAGATATTGCACACAAGCACCGAAAGGAAAGGAGAAATAACCATAGACATTTTTGAGATTCATGAAATAAATTAGAGTACAAAGAGCAAATTACGAATGATCACAAGGGGACAAAATAAAAAAGTAAAAAAGGTTGTACTTAATAATAATAGCTTCAACCCAATTTTCTTATTAAGATAATGATAACATTTTGGTAATTTAATAATTTATGTAAATTTTAAACGTATCCTATTGAAAATCGCAGGTTGTCATTGTATTTGCATACTAAAATGATAAATGATGAAGCTTACTTTAACATAAAGTATGCTATGTATTGCCTGACAACAGTTGCTAAGTTGTTGAATTTGAGACTCATTCTCACATCACTAGTCCAATGCCAAATGCCAAACGTGACTTAAATATCATTGTCAAATAAGTGACAGTTGAAGTGTTTGTGTTGTATGAGATTAAAAACAAATACTTTTTATTTATAATTTCTTAAGTTCTGATTTTAATAATGAGGGATAACAACGAAGAGAAATTTATTTTCGCGGCCTGCACTTATTTTGCTAAAAACCATCCAGGGGAAACATGCGGTAGTAATGGATTACCATTAACACCAAGTTCAATATCAATCCTAGGACGAGCTCAACGATTACTTACAATACAACACCCTAATTTGTGTATATACCTCGATATTATACGCGGAAAACATGGTTCGTACAAAGATTTGGAATATTCCATTATAATAAAAAAGAATATAATTCGCACCCCTTTTGTTGTAGGCGTATTTACATGAGTTTGATTGAAAAAATTATGTATATAAGTTTCTTATCACTAAAGAAGCTTACTAAGGTTAATGTTAGTTTTGCTTAATGTATTACAGAAAGAATAATAGTAGTAACTGAAGTATTTGGAAAATCATTAGAAGAATGGAAGTCAAAGTTTTCATTTGACGAAGTTACAAATATTGGCCTGCAGATTTCTCAAGCCATGCTATTTCTGCATAAACAGGACATTGTGCATAGAACATTAGCAGATGGCAATATATTATTGGATGGCAGTGGTAGGGTCAAGTTATTCAATTATGGAATGTATTATATGACTGGTGGTGGCTCTGATGTCCCATTTCCTTTGGGGTCAGTATAATTATTATATCTACTAATTATGTTTATTTTTTTGTATGTCTAAAAATTAATCAAGATTATATCACAAGTAACTTATGAAGAAATGTTTTAATGTGTTAAATACTATAATGTTTTATAATACAATAATGTTTCTATCTACTTGTGAAGTCAGAGGTATTTGGTTTTTTAATTAACTATTTGTATTATACCATATTTATACAATTATTTTAGCCTGCCAAGATATTTAAGTCCGGAAACAATACTGAATGGAGGTGGTCCTGCTGCAGATATATGGACATTTGGTATAATCTTACTAGAACTTTGTATCGGCAAATTGTGGCAGAACTTGAAACCGGGACCGATACTCCGTAGAATACTAACACTTGTACATGCTGCAAATCCAGCTGAGCGGATAGCTAGAGAACATGACTGCTTTGAAGCATATAAAGTAATTATTTTTTTATTAATAACCAGAATCATATTTCCAATATTATTCTTTTTTTACATGTTTATTGTTAATAAAAAAATATGTTAACCATTTAATATTACTGCAGAGTGTAGTGTCAAATACAAAAACCATAATAGGAATGTACTTCATTTAGGAAAAAATTAAATTACTCTTATGAGTTGATTCAGCCCATCTTGACAAGATTATTTAATATGTAACACTGAGTGTCTTTTATCTTTTGAGAGGAAGTTAAAAAAAAAAATATATATATATATATATATATATATATATATATATAATTTTTTGTTATATTTCTAGTGTAAGTATTTAGACAAATGTTCTAGAAAAAAATTAAAAAATCTTTTCAAAATACTTTTGCAGTTAGTACCTGATCATTTAAGAAACATAATAGAAAAATGTCTAAAGATTTATCCGAGTGAAAGAGCGACATTTGATGAACTGGTAGAGGAATTGTCAGAGGCTAATGTGAAGACTGTGGTTGATGTGAAGAAACCTCGTGGTCTAATGGGATGTAAACTACAATACTTATACCACTGGTGGCAATTAACTGGTGGCGATATACAGGCAGAATTGAAAAAAAATGGTTTAATTAAAAATAGTCCACCCATTTTGTCTATGCCTATGTAAGTAATTTTAGCCTTCTTGTAGTCGTCTTTACCTTTCCATCCTTTCTTATAAGGGGCACATAGAAATTGAAAACATTGTCTTCTTGTGCATCTCCTCCTCCGTTGTTTAAAGGCAGCGGTCTCTTCACTATTTTGGCGAATCTATGTCTTCTTGCAAGTTTCCCACCAAATGATGTAAAAATTACTATTATTTTATTTCTTTTTGGAATTAAACATATGATATTGTAATTACTTGTCACATTATTGAAAAAAGAACTATAAGGTTTTTTATTTTAATTTATATATTTAATTTTCAGAGCAATACTTTTAGATGGATGCACTATTGGTGGCAAACGTGGAGCGTTATTTGATCGTCGTATAGCCAAGTACAGTTTAGATTTATTGAAGGCACGTCTCAGTCATATACCTCCGCAGGACTTTTACCCACTAATGCATGAACGTAGACGAGACTACGACGCAGTGGCTCTGCCAAAAATAATAAGAGAAAGGGATACTGAATATCAATTCTACAGATTGCTGTGGTTTCAGCGACTCCTCATTGTAAGTTTTATCGAGCTACAACTTATTAATTTCGTTTATTTAATCTTGCTCTTACTAATATGATAAAGGCGAATGTTTGGATGTATGGATGACTGGATGTTTGTTAGAAGGTACCTACAGAAAGGCGAGAAGAAACACTTACTTTTCATGTAACTTTTTACACCAAATTAGATCAAATGCAGTCAAACTTTGCACAAGCAAGAGTCCAAGAGACTGCAATATTTATCTAACTTATAGAGATTTCTCTCTCATACAAGTTTCTCACTTATAGAGGTTGGTAGCCGGGACCAAAGGTCAGTTAATATAATTCTTTTAGTGAATCCTGGTATTTCTTGTTTGGTTTATATATTATTGATTATGTTAGGGTTATCCATACACAGCTCAGTACATAAGAGCAGAAGCAGAGATAGACATACCTCCGTTAGTGCGGGGAGATGTGTGGGCAGCATTACTGGGAGTTAAAGGAGATATTGAAGAACAATATGAGAGGATTGATAAGGAAACTCCTACACCAACCGACAGACAGGTTAGTAAACTACGATTTTACATAATACTTGGTTAAATAATTCTATGTCTATGTTTGCATTTGAGATATTGTAGTGATTTGTACCAATTATGTATTTGCTAATAACTAAAACGGTTTTTTTTTTATTTTTGTTTGTCTATTTTCAAGACTGCGTTTGTTCTGGGTAATCTTCGGAATGACTGGAACGATTTTAAAGGGACTGTTATATTTTATTTTTATTTTGCATTAACGAATTCTAAGGCAATTGTTACTTAAATAATTCGAGTGGATATTTTTATATTTAATTAATAATTAAATGCTTTGGATAAAGTTTTTGATCCAACCATGCCACTTATTATACACCACTTATTGGAGCGTCGGTGGCTCAGTGGTCAAGCACTTGACTTGAAATCTGCAGGTCCTGGGTTCGTTTCCCCCCATATACCAATGTGTTTTTCATTTTCCGATTTATATATGTATATTTATCCGACGTTCTTACGGTGAAGGAACACATCGTGATGCAGCCTGCACATATCTGAGGAGTATTTCAAAGATATGTGTGAAGTCAACCAACCTGCACTTGGCCAGCGTGTTTGACTATGGCCTAATCATTCTTAACTTAGGGCAGGCTCCGAGCCCCTCGGTAGAGGACCTATAGTGAGCTGATGATGACACCACTTATTCACTTATTTATTTTTTACTTGTTTTGTTAGATCGATGTAGACATCCCCCGTTGTCACCAGTACTGTTGGTTGCTCTGTGGTTCAGCTGGCCATCGGACACTGAAGCGACTGTTAAAAGCCTGGCTCCTAACTAACCCTCAGTATGTGTATTGGCAAGGATTAGACTCTTTGACTGCGCCATTTTTATATTTAAATTTTTGTAATGAAGGTAATAATATCACTTTTAACTTATTAAACCAATAAAATGCTTATGTTTCTAGCAATTACAGCTGAATAAATGGACACGTTTTTGTTAAATCTTTCTTCTTACTAATATTATAAATGCGAATGTATGGATGGATGTTTGTTAGAAGGTATCTCTATATTTAATGGATTTTGCTATAATAAAATTTTGCATAAATGTAAAACATAGTCTGCAAGAACATATAGACTATATATTATGTTTTTTTTTATCTGCGGGGACGCAGTCGCGGTTGACAGCTAGTATATCGCCAATTATGATTTTCAGCACGTGCATTCGCCTGTTTGTCAGCGTTTGTACCGAAATTCCTTCACAAATTCTTTCTGAAGGACAACAGCGCGGTGATTAAGGAGTACTTGGCCAAGTTCTGGCAGATGGCCGCCTTTCACGAGCCGGAGTTAGCTACGCATTTACATGAGATCAACTTTGTACCAGAACTGTTTGCGATACCCTGGTTCCTTACTATGTTCTCACGTGAGTTTTAAATATAATACTATTATGTATAATTTATGAAGTAGAGTGGGTAATTAATTTTTGTTTTGAATCGTCTTAAACTTGGGTAACTTTAGTTGTGAATATATATGCTTTATTTTCATTTAAGTCTACTTGGTAGTACAAATGCGAAAGTAGAGATGTATGGATGGATAATATGTCCAGAATGACTTAACAGATCTCGATGAAATTTGTCATATAGTTTTTTTTTATTTCGCGTCAAGGAAATGACGTGCAACAGTCACTAGTGTCAAAAGTCGGCAACGAATTTAGTATGAAAGTCTTTGTTGGACTAAATATGATTTGATTTTACTCAACACAATTTGTTGTAGACGTGTTTCCACTGCACAAAATCGTGCACTTATGGGACGCGTTATTAGTGGA